AGCAGCAGCAGCAGCAGCAGCCAGAGCCCCCTCCGGATCCCTGCCGCGAGGAGACGTGCCACTTCCTCAATGCTATCTTCCTCTTCCTTTTTAGGGAGCTCAGGGACACGGCCCTGGTCAGGAACTGGGTCACCAAGAAGATCAAGGTGGAGTTCGAGGAGCTGCTCCAGGCCAAGATGACGGGGAAGGTGCTGGAGGGGCTCAGCCTCAGGGACGTCTATCTCGGCAATGTCCTGCCTGTGTTCAAAGCGGTCAAGCTCATTCGGCCAGTGATCTGCAACGAGGAGGGCTGCCCCGAGGAGCTGGGCTTTGAGGTAGACCTGGAGTACAATGGTGGCTTCCACTTGGCCATCGATGCCGACCTGGTCTTTGGCAAGTCAGCCTACCTCTTTGTCAAGATCTCCCGGGTGCTGGGGAAGCTGAAGCTGGTCTTCACACGCCTGCCCTTCACGCACTGGTCCTTCTCCTTTATGGATGACCCTGTGATACTCTTTGAAGTGAAGTCTCAGTTTGAAGGGAGGCCTATGCCACAGCTCACTTCCATCATAGTGAACCAGTTCAAGAAGGTTATTAAGCGCAAGCACACCTTGCCCAATTATAAAATCAGGTAAGACATCCTGGGTCTTCAGTGTTACTTTGGGTGGTCAGCATTAGGATCGCTGCTTTGTTCATAATAGGTGAAATACATTTCTGTTGACACTTCTACAGCAGGGATTTTTGTACATTGGTTGTCTTATAATAAAAAGCTTTCCATGAAAGTAAGCAATGTTTTCCATTTACGATATGTGGAAAAGCCAGTGCATAGTGAGACTGACATGCCCCAAACTGCATTTAAGTAAGTGGTAGAATTAGCAGGTATTGGAAATTTTGGAATCCTGTCAGGTGTCCAATCACAGTGCCATGGTACCTCTCTTTGGAAAAGGTAGAAGGATGGCTCTGTGGACAGCATGTGGGTTTTGGGTGTCCTCCCAGGCTTCTGCCACTGGTGAGCCACCTGGGCAAGCCTTGTGGCTTTGCTTATCTATAGAGACAAAGTGGTTGTTAATGAGAGATAGTATAAAGTCCACTTTCTAGGTATGTTTGAGATGCCAAGATAGGGGCTGTCCTCTTGCTTTGTGGCTTGCTGAATTTCTTCAGTAACTTCAGGGAAATGTAAAAGTTGGTAAAAGTATTGGCACTGTTGTAGTAAGTAAAATTTTAGGGAAACTCTTGTGGCTTTTATTTTTTATAAGATGGTATGTTTTCTTTTATAAATGCACACACTGCAGCACAGACTGCATTATGTAGTGAATATGATGAAATGTTCAGTGATACTTCTGTAATGGAAGTGTCAGGTGACATCTTTACTTTGATTCCACCCTTATTTCTGATTAAAAGATACTGAATGCCTTACCACTGTTCAGGTACCACGTTCCTTTTCTGTCATGTGTCTTACCACTCTTAGGCTAACATGTTTCTTTTGTTTATTCTTTGTAGGTTGTATAGTGTGTCAAGTAAGCATTTTTGTTTTGTTTACCACATTCTTCTGCAATAAGCCTTTTCCCTGAAATTCGTCAGAGATGAGTAACTGAAAATGGCCTTTTGAACTTTGAAGTGTAATTAGCTTTGCAGTGATGTCATTTTTAAAGCCTTTTCTTCTGCAGTTGAATTTAGAAGAGTTCTTATGAAAGTGGATATGTAAAATACCTGAGATTTGGAAAGCCCTGACAGGGCAATAAGTCGTTTCTTTGAGTAATGTGGTAGTGCTTTTAAATTTCAAGGTACTGAAGTGCTGTCCAGATGATCGCAATCCCTGGGCAGCAGGGAAGCTGTCAAGGGCAAATTTGCTTCCATTCTCTTACTGTGTTGGACAGAGTCTGAAGCTGTTAACTCTGAAGAGCCCAAAGGAGAGGCACCATCATGGTGTAGTGAGCACTCTCAGCATACCTAGAAAGAGCAAGTAAAGCATATGATCTCTGCACTCTACAGACAAGTTTTTAAGGTGCCTGTGGAACCAGTGGTGATGCGCTCCTGCCGTTCATTGTTCTTCCTCTGAGAGATACACCTGGGCAGTAGAGTGCTCTCATCATTAGTTAGAAGTAATGAATTTTCCACATATTTCTCAAACGTTCTCTGCCAGAAGGAATAGATGAAACATGTAAGCCACTGTTATGCTAAAGGGACTGGAAGGGAAAATAGAGTGCAGTGTTTGGGACAGAAATGAGTAGAAGTATGAGGATAGAAGGTCATTGGTACTGAGCATAATATAGGAAGCATAAATTATTATAGAAACAAGAATGGGCTCTTATTTTAAAATGTTCCCTTTAAGTTATAAGGAGCTGAGAATTTGTGAATGCTTGAGAGGTAAATACAGTATCATAGTTGGTATTCACACTAGAAAGTGGGCTGCTAGCAGAGGGTGGCAGATGTGAAACAGTGTCCAACCCTGTTTATGCTGGTTTTGACCTTTAAATTTCATGCTGTGTTCTGAGTATGTCATTCTGAGCCACTGGGTTGTGAAGGGGGATGGCAGGACATTAAGCTTGATACTCAGTAATGAAACTATCTTAAGGAAGGAAGATTGCGTCATTGGTGTCCTAACTGGCTAGAACTTTGCCTTTAAAGCTTCAAGGAGGAACACAGATCCATGCATGGGAACCTTTAGCTGTCTTTGAAGCTTTAGCTGTTCACCGTTGCCCAAGGTTTTGTGGAACACAGACTGATAACTTGTATTGTCCACCAGTGTCTCAGATGAGTTGATGCAGGTAGATCCCTAGGCAGCAAAACCTGGTAACAGCTGAGTAGTAACAATACACTTCTGTGTGGTGGCATAGTTGAGAATTGAAGCATTGTGGCTGAGATGGTATAGAGAACTGACTTGGAAAATCAAGCCTCCTGCTGATAAGATGCAAAATGGTATTTTTAATAGAATATGGAAGAACATTTTGGCTTGGGGTTATGGTATGTTAATATATTCCTTAGCAATGAATGTATAGGAAGAAGTCAGGAGAGTTTCACAATTGCTTAATAACCTGTTACCTTAAAGCTGAACAATTTCTCATCTACAGGGAATGTGCTTATCCTCTCCCCATTTTTTCCCTATGGCCTATGTACCTTTTATTTAAGTACACATTATTTGCTTCTGTGTAGTTCAGAACCTTTTTGATGTCTCCCTACTCTTGCTCAAGTAACTTTGTAATTACTGCTATTCAAAGATTTATTTACAATCTTGTACACAAAAGCACTTGGAGTGTGAGGAGTTCTCTTCTCAGTTGGCTAAGAGGGGCACTACATTACCCTGCTAGCTTCCAGACTGAAGTCCACAGAGGAGTTTTTATCTTGAAACAAGATATTAAGTAGCATTAAAAAATAAAAAATGTGCTTTTCGTTGTCTTTTTGTATTAGGCAACTTCTAGAGGTTATTACTTGGTAGTAAATGACATAAGAAAAGAATTTTTGCCAATAGTTGATTTTGAACATCCTGTAACTAAGTTGTGTAAAGCAGATCCCCCTCTCCTTTCTAATTTAACTAAATAAATACTGCACTACGAAAGTCTTGTGTCTTCATTCATGCAGTCTGTTGCTACAGCCAAATTACTACACACATTCTTTCCAGTTATGTATAAAACTTTACACAGTGGTTAGTAACATCATCATCTCTTGTATCATCCATTTGCTAGGAGTGACTTTGTGCCATGTGTGTAACTGTAGCTTCAAAGTGGAAGAAAGCATCTTGCATTCCTGATGCACTCTTAAGTGTGTGGGGAGGCCATGTAGACTAGTAAATGTGTTTTAAAGTTTGCCTTGTGTTTTATGTACAGTTTTCTCCATAAAAGCAATTGTCTACTAATTGAAAAAGGAGGGATGCCATTTATGTCTAAACAAACGAGTAGTAGTTTGTGTGTTATGCTAATACCGTGTAATCACTTTTGGCTCTTTAAGAAATGTGTTTGTGCCTGGCAAAATACCCTATTTTGAAGCTGCTCTGCCATTGAATGGTAATTACTATCTTATATAGTAGAATCTCGTTGCATGTTTGTAACTGAGGCTGCTGGTAAAATTCAGTGAACGGCAGGTTGGTTTTTCTTTTAGTCATCATTGATAAAGGATCTGTGCAATTCATTTGGTAGTAGCGAGTTACTACTGGCTTATAACTGACTTGAATCTTAATGTATTGCTGCTTTGTAATAGAAATGCAAACAGCTTTTCTGAAAACGTTGTCTGTCAGTTTCTTGTTCAGATGTGGGGAAGGTCTAAAATAATTCTTTTTTTTCCTGCTCCAGTGTAGAGGAGTTCTGGTGCACTCTTGAGAAACTAGAGAACCGCAAGTCAAGATTTGTTTTTAATAACTAGCCCTGTTCTCACTAAGGTAGTAAAGAATTCTAGGTATCATTTAGGTATCTGCATACTCCGTAGGTCTGTTTTTGACTTAACTGCTTAAATTGCACTTTTTTTAGTTCTGAGACAAGTTGGCCAGTGGGTGGAGCTTGAGAAGGAACATGGAAAGCCTTGACTTCCCCATTGCTTGGTTGAGATGTCAGCTGTTGATGTTCTGCAGCGCAGCTGCTGACGCACCAGCTGTGTCCCAAGATCCTAATGCTGGAACTCTCGGGACTATATGCAGTCAGTCTTTCTCCTCAGCATAGCTTGACTTAGCACTATATTTTTTTACATAGGTCTCTTTTACTAGAGCAGGTGGTAGATACTAATTATCAGCACAAAGCAGAGTTTTAGTTGCTTGAATCCGACCTTTGGTTTTATGTTGTGTACACTCAAACAGTTCTTTAATAGTACTACTGTAGACATTGTTTGTGTTTGTTTTACCTTTCTCTCCTTTCAATAGTAGGATAAAGTGGTTAACATTAAGCTGTAGTTACAAGCATTGTCATAGTGTATTTAGAGACATGTAGTAAGGACTATTTCAGATGTCTGTCTCCTTGCTTGTGCCTTTGCAGTGGTCACAGATTCATCTCTGTTAGTTCCATAATAAGCTGTACCTTGCTCGTTAATCTTTTGCCTTTGTGTTTATGTAGAGGGTGAGGAGAAAGTACTTGCAGTTTAGTCTCTGTCCAGAATTTAACTTCCTGGTATTTAGGTATTTAATAATGATGTAAAAAATTCGACAGCTACTGTTTTTTTCTAAATTCAAGGTCTTGCAAGTTCATCCCTTTAGGTTCTAAGCAGATTAAGTATTGCCTAAGCAGTGATTCAGTTCTGTATATTTTAAGAACACTTAGTTTCTCAGTTTGTTACATTAAAATGAGCTAATATTTTTTTATTGGTATTAGCGTGTTTGAGAAACTACACTGTGCTTTATTTTAATGCATGCCACCACAGAGTGGAATAATTTTCTTTTCTTTAGAAGTGATCTCACAAAGGATTACTTCTAACATTTCTATATCAAGTATTTAGATGACCTCCTGATGTCCCTTCTAAAGTGAATTATCCTTGGAACTGATCATTTGCAATATAGCTAGTCATGTTAAATAGTTTTATGCTGTATTTGGAAGCTGGGGCTATATTGAATTCACTGGGAAGAACCATTAAACAAGCCTATTCTAATTTATCGTTATAGAATGCAATTTGAGAGTTACACAGCAGTTTCTTATTTTTGGCAAAACTGGAGCT